GGAGTGTATGAAAGAGAGAAAATTTGAAAAAAAAAGAAGAGGACATTCCCATTTGGTTGGGGATTTTGTTCTTTGGTTTTGACATTGTCCCTGGTTTTACTGGGCTCACATATCGGCCCAAAGTCAGCGGCCTGCATTGGCCCAAGGCCCAGATTTTGTTGCCTAGAACGTTAAATCGCAGCCCAAGCATGGCCCAAGCTGCAACTGCAACCCCAAACCTCCGCTAGTTCGTCGCGACGGCGGCGTGGGTACATCTCGTCACTTCTCGATACTTGTCTTCCTTATATCGGACCGGCCCATAGTCTGATGGCAGGCACCGCCGTCGGCCCGTCGCATCGCCGCCCCAAGCGATTTCGCGGGCTATACCATCAGTTGCTTTCGCTTGCAAATTTGCTGCAGAATCATTCGTTGCCTTTCTTAGGAATTTTTTCTTGAGCTAGAGCTTGTGGCCTTGTGGCTGTGGGTCGCAAACGAATACTGTAATATAAACCTAATGAATAATAAAGTAATAAACTCTTTCAGCCTAGCTAGGCTTCCTGAAGATGGTGTGTAAGTGTAACATTTGCGTCCCGACTCTCGACTCTCGAAAATATAAAGGCTGGATGTGACTTTGGTTTGCAACATTTGCGTTCTCTTACTAGACTTCGAGTTACATAAGATTGCACTTACTTTTCTTGTTCTTTTTTACTGTATCTGTGGGCTGTGGCTTTACCTTTCAAATTCTTAAAGCCCAAAGACTAACTTTATTATTATTATAATAACTTCATCGCTCGTGATATCTGTTGTTGTGGAACAAATGTGCCAGCATCCACACACACACACAAAGTGTAGTGGAGCTTTTATCTTTTTCTTTCCCTCCTTTTTTTCGATAATGTATTGTAACCTCAGTTGATCACTCAGTAGTCAGTCAATGACTACTGAGTGATTTTTTTTGCGAATACTGAGTGATTTAATCCAGTGTTTCCCCCAGAAAGCAGTATTTATGATGGCAGGTACTTTTAGATAAACTAGCCACTACTGGTTGACATCTCTGTAAGCACTGCAACAGATTTTTGTACACGGGTATTAAAAATTGCACGCGACCACTACAACATCCAGCTTTCTTGGCATTAGGCAACTGCAAATGTGAAGAGAATCAGGCTAATGCCATATCTTTGATTTTTTTCTTTCGTGAATAATTTTCTTTAGTTAACCTAATCTATAACTGCCAACACTTGCAGGTGCATCTGTGCAAGCGAGAAGAGAACAAAAGACATCTCTTTTTGTTTTACGGCTTTGTGGATTTTTTTTCATCAGACTACGTATATACCCACAAGCACCTGCAATATGTGTATCAGTTGTTGTACCTGCACCTAACTAAAAGCTTCCAGGCTTTGCCTCCTTTCATGCTGAACTTCTTAACCTTCCCAAAGAACATCACAACAATGAGTATGAGTTTGCCGGAGTCGCTCCACCTCCCTGCAAAACCAGTCCATCTGTCTGTACAGACTCCATCTGGATTGATCTGCCTGCTTCAGCTGTAGCCCATTGAGAAGCCAACATTTCCATAAGCACTGCATGCAGAACGTAGCTAAAACATGTCAGGTTAAAGGTAGCAAACCTTCCAAGAAATATGCATGAACACAAATGTGGTTGTTTCAGTCTGCATTCTAGTCATCAGTCATGTGCATTTACTTTTACTTAGACGTCTTGCAATTGTTTACCACATGATTGCACTCTGCATTTCTTCATTCTCACATATATTGTCGATTTGTTTTATATGCATGGGATTTTTTTTTTTGTCCTTGAACTACTCGGAGTAACGCTTACCTGATGACTTCGACGACAATGCTGAGCACGTTGAAGTTGAGGGGATCTTCTTTGAGCATTCTCCTCTCGGTGATGCAGATGGCAATGACGAAGATGGTCAAGTAGGAGACTTGTGACATGACTGTGCTCTTGAGTAGCCTTATTCCTTGGTTCTCCGTGGAATGACCCCTCTTAGAATTCTCTTCAGATGGAAACCATGTCGTGTATGGAGGAAGATACCTAGTAGAAGTAAAAAAAAAAAACAAGCAGGTTTGAAATGAGAAATACTAGACAAACAAAACATTACCACTTCCTATTTACCGTTTTTACTCAAAGTTACAGTACATGGCCGGCACTTGTTTTTATTTGGTCAGATGGAACGGGTCAGATTGCTTTACGCAAATTGAAGGCCGTTTTTAGATGCCATGATTTTCTGTAACGGCCTTCATTTTCAGTAACTGCTCATGACAGGATAGAGTCCATCCACATCCACTTTATCGAAGGGAGATGTATGCAATTTCGTATCCACATGAGAGAATTCAGAAAGTTTTGTGTGAACTATTCTGTTCTCATGTGTTCTTGACCCATATGGATCCTCTTGGTCTGCGGGCAAGGTCAGCTGAGTTCTTTAGCTACTTTGCCTGTGTGCAAAACTAGATATTAGTGCTTGGCTTGGTTTGGCTTCAAAGAGCCCAATTTGGACAAAACTACCCAAACCAATCGTGGTGCACGCCCGATCCATAAATAAAACTGATATAAGAGTCTCTGTTGGATGCTGTCATTCGTAAATGGTTGGCTCCCATTTCACGAGAAAAGAAAAAGAAAAAGAAAAGGTGGTCTTCCTACCACCTGGGTTTGCTTGCATTGGGATTGGGACGCCACAGCATATTCTCGGAAGCAGCTGAACGAAGGTAGCCTGTGGAGGTAGCATGGGCCTTTTTTGACCTGGAAACTATTAATCTATACATCTATACATCTTGAATTCTTGATTCTCTGGTTGTCTCGACTGAATTTGAATGTTGCTTTGTGCTTACGTGAAGCTCACCGGCGGCTCTTCATTTCCGGTCCAATATTGGGTGCTTGGGGAAAAAAATAGTTTTACGTATGTTGTAGTCTAATTATTTTGCTCTATTATTGGCAGATCGGTCAAATCGAGGAGGTAACACATGCCCTTGAATAAGAAATTGTGCCATCACCTACCTAAGACGGAAACCTAAGTGCCTACCAATTTGTCCTTTAAAAAAAGCTGCAATGATTCATGAGTTAAAAATTCGGTCCCGGTGCTTGTCCGTAGCACGGAGAAGATTCCAGGTTGCCCAAGGATCGCAGATTACCATCAGTTTATTAGGCTTCACAGGCAAGTGAACATGCATCACAACTTTTCCTAATCGTTCGACTTCGTAATCATATATGACCTACCTACTTCACTGTGTTCAATGATACTGCAAGAGCATATATGACCTACCTAGTGTACTAGTGATATGCGTGTTTGGTTCTCATCTTAAGGCCTACCTGTTTGGACTTCCTAGAGCTTTTGGACATTAGCTTTGGGACATTCCAAAAGCCAAAAAGCTCTCGAAAGTCAAAAGTCAGAAACTCTCCAAAGTGAGCTTTTGGACTTTTGGCTTGTAGAAGCTTTTCGGCTTTTGGAGGGTGCAAAAGCTCCTACGAAACTTAAACAAACATGGCCTTAGACCTAGCCTAGCCTAGCTAGCCAGGGCAGCCGAAGCTAGCGCTCCTGCAATGAAAGAGGTTGTTTTTTGGTTTGCTTGTCCTAGGTAAACCTAGGCTTATCTAGATCCTGTTTAGTTGACTAGTTAGTTCGAATATAGTCATCTTGTTCCTGTGAAAATGAGCTTAACTCAATCACTGCTCATGGAGTTCACGGCCACTGCATCTCCTCCTAGTGTGAGGAGGAGGGGGTCAGCCACAAGCGTCGCGCGAAGGTTGACGAAGTCGATGGCGGTGGCGCTGCGCGCGTGGAGGAGGTCAGCCACAAGCGCACACCCGACAGATTGAGGAGGACAAAGACAGTCGTGGAGCGCGAGGAGGAGGAGGTTAGCCACGAGCGTCTGAGAGGCTGATGAAGTCGATGGCGGCGACGTTGCGCGCAGAGGAGGAGGTTAGCCACGAGCGCACACCTGGCAGACGGAGGAGGACACCGACAGCCGTGGCGCGCAAGGAGGAGGAGGATGGCGCATGCGGAGGGGGAGGAAGATGGTGGCAATCATGGTGCATGTGGAAAAGGAGGACGGTAGCGGTCGTGGCGCGAGCAGGCCGCGTAGGAGCAGGGGCGGGGAGGTGGTGGTTCTACAATGAGAAGACGATGGTCCTCCAACGAACTCCGTGCGAGCATTGGGGGTCGCCAGGACTAGGCGGCGACATTGCTAGGACCTCCGACATTGATGAAGAGAAACACTGGGAGGTGAAGCGAGCGCGGGCGGAAACCTAGCTAAGGGAAAAGACCACCTTCCTTGTTTTCACCTGGCCTGACTTTGGCGTGGTCAGTGCATAGCTGGGGCCTAGCTTGGAAGCAAGTTAAGCCAACCAAACAGGTCGTTGGCTCCGTGGAGTCTAGATAGGGGAAGCGAGGAACCAAACACACCCACAGTGCATTCTCATAGGAAGGGGTGGAGCTCTTCTACCTTGGATTTCTAGACATTTTTACCCCCAAATACTGTGTACCATGGATATATTAAGGAAGATGTCTCAGCCGACAGCCAGAGAAAGGAAAACAGTAGCTACTTGACTATTACGATGTTCTCTTGGAGTCTTGGGCTATTGGCCTGTCGTGGCTTTTAGAAATTGGGAGTATAGTATATCACGTACAGGCCACTGATCGTGTATATGGGCCTTTTGGTTCATTGGCTGGCCTTATCCTCGGCCTATTGGCCGCTGGAGCCTGCAAAGCCATCGAGAGTTTCCTTTCTGTACGACGAATCGAAGATTTAACTTACCGCAATACCGCTCGTCCGCAGTCCGCTCAACGGTTCGTGTGCCCTCGGGCTGCGCCGCCACTCGATCAGATCAGGATCAGGCAATCATCGCGAGCGCGACTGTGCTGCGCGAGCAACTCCGCCTCCGCGTTTCCTTAGGACAGACTCTGAAAGTTACCGTCGGTGAGTTTCAGAGTTGCGGAATTGTATAATTTTTTATTACTTGGGATGCTTGATTATTAATTAATTACTAAGTTTGTTTGATTAATCTATCAATCACATCATGAGGACGAAGAACACGAGGATGGCCGTCGCCAGTGTGGAGAGGTCGAGGGTGGACTCGCCAGTGTGCCGAGAGTTCACAGCGAGGAACAGCGCGTTCGACAGCTTCTCCCCCGCGCCCAGCCCCCGCAGCGCGCCGCCCCACTCCATCGCGCACAGCAGCGCCACCTGCACGGCGATGAACGAGGCCACGGTCCCGGAGAGCATCCAGCACCGCCGCGCGGGGAGCAGGTGGTGGTACCCCGTCGCGTCCCTGCCCTTCCTAGTGATCTCCACGACCTCCTCCCGCCTCGTGGCCGCGTCCGCCGCCCACACGCACGCGGGAACAGCGTGTTGCCCACCAGCGCCTGCGGCACGAGCAGAAGCTGCAGCGACACGTCCCGGCTGAACACCATCATGTTCTCGTTCGTCGGCATGAACCCGCAGCTGGAGAACGTGGACACCGTCGTGAACACCGAGAAGGTCCACACGTTGAGGGCCTTGCGCCGCAGCGTCTGCCTCGCGCCGGGCGCGGCGTAGACGTATGCCGCGACGGCGACGGCACCCACCGCGTGCACCACCACGAGGATGGCCAGGACGATGTAGAACAGAGAGCGCACCGCATTGCGCCGCAGAATCTTCGCGTCTACCGGGATGTCGTCGTTCTCTTCGGTGACCGCAGTAGTTATCGACCTGGAGTCGGAGTCGGCATCGGCGTCATCGGCCTCGGCGCCGGTGGCCTCGAGCTCGATATCGTCGTCGTGGCTCTCGACGCGCCGGGATCTGTTTATGATCTGCTTCCTCATCTTGGACCATTTGGATGCGAGACCCACGAGCGACAGGAACACCTCGCCGCCGCCGAACATGAGAGCTGTGAGGACCAGGAGCTGGCCGTTGGAGAACACCTCCATCTCGACGGCGGACATGCTGGACACCGTCGCGGCCGACACGGCGGTGAAGAACATGTCGATGCCGCGGGGTCTCCTGCCGGGAGCCCGCACATTGATCGCCTCGAGGAGCCCCCACCCGACGCAGGAGATGGCGACGAAGTAGATGACGTGGACGAGGAGCGAGTTGAGGCGCGCGGCGACGTCGACGGCGCGGCGCCACGCCTGGCCCGCGCTGCACCGGAGCGTGCGCCGCGACCGTGCCACGCTCTCCGTGACCTGGTGGTGCGCGTAGGCCTTGGAGACCGAGCACACGAGGGACATTGCGCAGTCGAGCACCGGCGCAGGTGCTGCAGGAACCCCGGCGAGCTTATGCGCTCCGGCCATTGTAGTGCTGGCGCTGTTATGTGGGACTCGCCGAGCTATGTGCATGTGCATGCGCGTTCTGTGGTGCCTTGCCTTCGACACACACCTGCACCTGTATTATTATATATATACAAGTGGTGCGGAGGGCATCAACGTAACCTCCGCTTCTAGTTGCAACACGTGTGGATAGTATTGTGTGCTCAACTTGCCTCCCTGCTATAAAGAAATTCACAACTGAGAGATGAACTAGAATAGGAGTTGTAGTGAAAATACCATCCCACTTGTACTATCCCCACCCCCTCCTTTTTTTGGAAAAAAAAAGACTTCCAGAAGCCACAGGTGAGATGAGAATATTCATGCTGCACCAAACAGTAAGAATGAAACTCTTCTAATATACTCTTTCCGTCCCAAAATAAGTGACGCTATGGGATGTGTGCGGGACAAACTTTCTCAACTTTGAATAGGTTTGTAGAAAATATTAGCAACATTTATATGTTCAAATAAGTTTATTACGAAAATATGCTCAATGATTCGTCTAATGATACTAATTATGCACCATAAAGATTAATATTTTTATATATATGTTTGGTTAAAGTTAAAAAGTTTAACTTTTCAGAAAATAAGAATGACACTTATTTTAGGACGGAGGGAGTAAGTCTTCATATTTAGAGTAATATATTTTTACATAGGTATTTACAGTCCAAGTGCCATATTAGAAACCATGTTGATGTTGTACCAGGCTTATTATGGATCTGTTTGGTTCAGTCGTGAGTTGTGAAAAAGCTAATGTGAGATATAAGCTGTGAAGAAACTGTTGTGAGCTGTGCTGTGCTGTAAAAAAATTATAAAGCGTTTGGTTAAAATAACTATAAAACTTATCTCTCTTTATCTTCCTTAAGCAGTAAAGCGTCACTTTATTTCTACCTATTTAGAAAAGCAGAAAGTTAAGTCAAAAGTAGGATTCAAGGTGCTAAAAAAATTATATTACACAAAAATAGTCTGGGGCGGAGCCAAGAAATTAAATTTTTGAATGTTAGAGGGGCCAGCAATGTTAAATTTTCAAAATTTATTTGAATTTCAAAAAATTCAGTGGAGATTTCACATTCAGAGGGGCTTTCTGTTTTATCAGTTTGGTTAGCGTTGTGCTTTTGACAGCTAAAATACAGCCCGTATCTTGGATCAAAGCAAAGCATATACCCATCGATCACGTTACATCCATCGTTTTTGTCAGTGCAGGAATTAAAGGCAGTCACTCTTACACAGTAACAGTGATGGATTATCATGAAAATAGCTAGGCCACACAACTAACTAGCTCCGCTCAATACGGGAGAGACAAAATTCCCCGAGTGTCTCTGGCTTCCCCGAGTGCAAAAAATCGGGTATTCGGGGAAGAGAATCTTCCCCAAGTGCCAAAAATCGGACACTCGGGGAAGAGAATCTTCTTCGAGTGTTGCACTCGGGGAAGAGAGGCTTTCCCGAGTGCCACAGAGATCCTGGCATTCGGTAAAGAGCAGCACTCGGGAAAGGCCCTCTTCCCCGAGTGCAACATTCGGGAAAGATCGGCACTCGGCAAAGAAACATGCTACTTGACGGTTCAACCCGCCAACGTCGTTAAAACTTAAAAAAAAATACTTCCCCGAGAGCCTTCCCTGGCACTCGGGGAAGAGGCCCTTTCCGAGTGTCGATACGAGTCTTTGCCTTCCCGAGTGCACCGTCCCGCCACTCTGGAAAGGGCCCTCTCCCCAGTGGCGGGGAAGACACTAGGGATTTTTTTTTTTTTTTTTTTCATTTTTTGTGAGGCCTTCCCACATTATTTAAAACTCCATGTTCAAATTTGGGATAATTTTGACTTTTTTGTTATTTATTTAGTTAGTTTTTCGTTTTGTTTTTTTCGTTTTGTTGAGGTTTTTTTTGCATACTTGAATTTGTGCTGCGGTGCATGAAATAATAAAATTTGGTGATTGAAAAAAATTATATTAATGATATTTGGTGTATGTTGAGGCCTTATCGAAGGAACTGAACGCATGAAATGTCGAGCATCTTGTTGACGTAAAATAGCGAACAACTTGCGACGGAAAGTGTATTCCGCATATGATATACGCGAGAATCCGTTTTAGGCATCCAATATCGCAACTTGCAAGAAACCTTCTCTTTTTTATCATAGCGCCTACATGCGATAACACGATGCCTGCATAAGTCGTGATTTTCGATTTCGCTCGGATTTTATATAATTTAAAAACACTTTTCCCGCAAGTTGTCATGTTACGCCAACAAGATGCTCGACATTTCATACGAAGTTCCTCGATAAGGCCTCAACATACACCAAATATCATTAATATAATTTTTGAATCACCAAATTTATTATTTCATGCACCGCAGCTCAAATTCAAGTATGCAAAAAAATTCAACGAAAACGAAAAAACTAACGAAATATAACAAAAAAAAGTGAAAATTGTCCCAAATTTAAACATGGAGTTTTAAATAATGTGAGAAGACCTCACAAAAAAAATGAGGCAAAAAAAAAAAAAAAAAAAATACTTCCCGAGTGCCTTCCCCGCACTCTGGAAAAGAGACTTTCCCGAGTGCCGTAGCAGGCACTGGGAAGACTAAAAAAAAGCCCACCAGGCCTTATCTAAACCTAACCAGCCACCCACCCGCCTCCACCCCGCATGCCGCACGCCAGCAATCACCCGCTCGCACGCGCCGCCTCTGCTCTCGCTCCCGCTCCAGACGCGCCGCCAGACGCCTGCCGCCTCTGCGCTCCCTTCGCCTGTCTCCACACCCCGCCCCGGTGGCCAGGCCCGGACGACGCCGCCCGCCGCCCCCCTCCGGCGGCCAGGCCCGGACGCCGCCCGCCGCCCGCCAACACCGGCCAGATCTGCCGACGCCCGCCCGCCCAGAGCTGCCAGGCCCAGACGGCTCACCCCAAATCTCGACGTGCGACTCAGCCAGGTTCTCATCTTCCTCACCCTGGCCGACGATCTTCTCCGATTCGTTGCAAAATTCCAGGCACTTTATAGGATTTGTAGGGTGGATGCTGTTCTTTGCCTTCTCTGTCAGTGCAAAGCATTTGTAGGATGGATGCTATAAGTCATCTAGGAGTACTGCGTGCTAGCCAGCCAGCCATTGTCATTTAGCATGAATGCAGTGATGAGTTACACGTTGGATTCATTAAGATATGATGCTTATGGTGGCATAGTTAATGTACTGTCGCTGTTCTTCAGTACAATGTTGGAAAAAATGTAATAATGAGGTGTTTCATTTGAGGCGTGGATGCTCATGGTGTTTACTGGTTTCACTAGTGAAATGGTTAAGACAGTGATAGATCATGATAGATCGTACCTCTCTCTATACAGTGAAATGGTTTCACTAGTGAAATAGTAGAGAGAGCGAGAGAGGGTACCCTCCTATATATAGTAGACAATGATAGATCAATTTACCTTAACTTTTTTTTTCTATATTTTACCAAATGTAGAAGTATATATATGTGTAGAGAGAGGGTACTTTGGATTTTTTTCCATAATATGGCAGGTTCAGGGATTACTTGGGTTATTCTAAACAAAGGCATAGGTTAGATTTATATGTTACTTTTGTTTATTGTCATAGTTACTACTGTTGTTATAGATCAAGCAATTGTTCCATTTACAGTCCTCTTGTTTCTTGCAGTAGCCCCTGTGATCCACCTGGACTAAACGATGCATCTTGTTGTTTGCCCTGTTGGGCATTGCAAGTTCATCAGGTACTGATTCCTATCTTTATCTGTATGCATCACTTCATGCATTTTTTTGATCCACCTGACATGGTAATGGAATTTGAACTTTATTTTGGGCTGCTTCCTACGTCTCACAAGTAGTAGTCTCACATGAATGAGTAAAATGTTCCTTGAAAGCTGGCCAAGTTGTGCAGGCCTATGCAGCATTTATATTTTCTTAAAATAAGGATGGTCATCTAATAATAATAAACATGTGATTGGAACTTGTGATCTTTTGGATGGCAAGCATGACTGTATTCTCTGCATAGCTGCTCTAGAAATAAGTTGCTGTAAAATACATACAGTAGAGATGCACTATGAAAATTTCTTTTCTTCATGTGAAACTCTATTTAAAATTTCTATCCATGGAAAACAATAACTAATTAAGTACAGCATATTTTTATCTTAAAAAGATTTTGTGAAACACTATATTGCAAATTTCAATTTCTGAATATGTGTTGCTTACTCATCTCATGCAGTGGATCTGCTTGAGCTCGCTGCCCACCGACGTCGGACCTACTCAAACTCACCGCCCAGCTGCCCCACACGGACCTGCGAGCTCGAGCTCGCTTTCAGGTATGTCTTCTTCCTGCAACCAACTGAATCAGCACAGGTGCGTGCTCGTAATTATGCTAACTTTCATTTCTTAACTCAGTAGTTAATCAGCCCGAGACGGCGTCTTCTTCTCGCGTCCCGCCCCATTGTCGGCGTCTTCTTCTCGCGTGCACGCCCCGCTAACGCCCAAGGTATCTGAACCGTCCGCTCGTTGTCGGCCATCGCGCCGTTTATGTGTTGACGGCCTTCGTGCTGGAATTGTGGATGTGTGGGCCATCGTGCCCCAAATGTGGACGTCGGCCATCGTGTCGACGTTTTTTTCTTTGAGTTATCGAAACCTCCCGCCCGTGGGAAGTTTCGCCAAAATTTTGTACTTATAGTGCTGTTTTTCTTCTTTTGCAGAGCAGGACCTATCGCAGGGGAATCGGAGCACCTAGGCGATCCCGATCGTCTTCGTCAGTGCTGCGGTCCTGCCTGCACAGCGCCGACTCGCCACTGCACCGACTCGCCACTGCGTCGCTAGCCTTTCTCCACCGCCACCCTAGGTATAATTAAGCTCTTTTCCTTACCGTTGTTGTACGTAGATTGGTGTTGCCCAGTTAGGCGTCTCCCGTCCGAAATAGATACGGTTGGAGGTATGCAGATCTCCGCATATCTATGACCGTATCTGTTTCGGATTATCCAGGTGTAATTGGACAGCCCGCGGATGCGTAGA